AGCCTGCATCAAGACGGCAGTGACTACCTTGGAAGCAGATTTTCCAGCCTTCAGATGACTGCAATTTTGGCCAACATCTTGACTATAACCTCATGAAAGACCCCAAACAAGAACCAACCAGCTAAGATACACCCAAACCCCTGACCCACAGAAATTGTGTAGGACAATAAATATTTATTGTCCTTTTAATCTGATAAATTTTAGAGTAATTTGTTATGCAAAAATAGATAATACAGTGTGTATAAATCATAAATGAATTATTATAAACCTAACTTGACAAGGAAAATAAATATTTCAAAACCTCTAGAAGCCCCCAATGTGCCACCTCCTAAGTCCATGCTCCTACCTCAAAGATAATCACTATACTAACTTTTAATACCATAGATCAGTTATGCCTGTTAAGTCTCAAATTAACACAAATGGAACTACACAAAATGTATTCTTTTGTGTATTTCTTCTTGGTGAGATTTATCCATGTGGTTGCATTTAACAATAATTGTTCATTTCCATTGTTGTATACTATTTGACTGTATGAATATGCCACAATTTATTTTTGATTTGAGCATTGATGAACATTTGGACTGTTTCCATTTTGGAGCTATTATGAATTATAGTACTATAAGCATCCTTGTACGGTTGACCCTTAAACAACATAGGGCTTAGGCATACCAACTTCCCATGCAGTTGAAAAGCCATGTATGCAACTTTTGACTCCCCCAAAACTTAACTACCAATAGCTTACTGTTGACCGGAAGCCTTATCAATAACATAAACAGTAGATTAACATATATTTTTGTGTTGTAAGTATATGCTGTGTTCTTATAGTAAACTAAGAGAAAAGAAAATATTATTAAGAAAAATCTCGAGGAAGGAAGAGAAAATACATTTACTATTCATTAAGTAGAAGTGGGTCATCATAAAGATCTTCATCCTCATCATCTTCACGTTGAGTAGACTGAGGAGGAGGAAGAGGAAGGGTTGGTTTTGCTGTCTCAGAGGTTGGCAGAGGTGGAAAAAAATCCACATATAAGTAGACCCATGCCATTCAAACCTGTGTTGTTCAAGGATCAACTGTATATGTCTTTTGACACACAAATGTATGCCTTTCTGTTTGGTGTTTGTAAGAAGCTGATTGGGATTTTGACTGGGGGTTTGTGGAATCCACAGGTCAACTTAAGAAGATGTAACACAGTATTGAATATTCCAGTTTAAGAACATGATATATACCTCCATTTATTCAAGTCGTACTTTAATTAATATTTTACCATTTTCTGTGTAGGTATGTATATAATTTTTGATAGATTTATTTCTAAGGATTTTATTTCAATACAATTATAAATGATACCATCTTTTCAAAATTTTATCTTAGTGATTGGTTGTTGGAATAATGAATAAAATTGATTTTGGAGATTGGCCCTCTATCCAGCAATCTTGGTAAATATATGTATCAATTCTAATAGATAATAGATTTTGTGTTTTCTGAATATATAGTCATATAGTCTGCAAATAAAGACAGTGTTGTCATTCTTTGAAATCTTTAGATATTTAATTTCTCTCCACTTAGTGCACTAAGAAGGACTTCTAGCAAAACACTCCTTAAAAAGTAGAAATAGCAGACATCCTTGTCTCTCTCATTTACAACCACAAGGAGAAAGCCTTTAATAGTTCACCAATAAGCATAAAGTTTACTGGAGATTTTTTTATACTGTTATCAGAATAACGATGTTCCCTTCTAGTCCTGGTTTGCAGAGATTTGTAATCATGAATTGCCATTAAATGCTATCAACTGCTTTTTTTGGTACCCATTAAGATATTATGATTTTTCTCCTTTATTTTTTAAATGAGGTATGTTAGTTAATTTTTGACTGTTAGATCAACCTTATACTCCTAGAACAAACCCATATCGGGAAATATTTGGTCATTGTTTCTTCACATAACTGTTTTTGCTCCATTCTCTCACCTTTCCTTCTGGATTCAAATTACATATATGTTAGGCCACTTGATATTATCCCATAGTTCTTTGAGGCTTTCTTTATTTTCTTTAATCTGTTTTCCCTCTGTTCTTCAAATTAGTTACTTCAAGTTACTTCTTCAAGTTACTTTCTATTGCTCTATCTTCAGATGAACTAATCCTAACTCTTTCTCTCTTTCAACTGCCATCTCTAATCTGCTGTTAAATTCATCCACCAAATTATCCATTTCAGTTATTGTGCTTAGAGAGGCAGAATGGCCCCGCCAAAGATGTCCATGCCTTCATCCCTGAAACTGGTGAATATGCCACACTATAACATGGCAAAGAAACTTTGCAGATATAATTAAGGTTATGCACCTGGATTATCTAGGTGAGTACAATCTAATCACATGAGCACTTAGAGATGTAGTGAAAGAGGAGGCAGAAGAAATTTGGCAGCCGGGCAAGCCAGAGAGATTCAAAATGCAAACTGAACACACCATTCCTGGCTCTGAAATGCACAGGTCAACATGCAAGGGACGGAAGAGAGGCCTTTAGCTGCTCATTGAAAGTATGAGAAGGAATGCAAGCAGCCTCTAGAGGCACAGGCAAACCGCTGGCTAAAAGCCAGCAGGGACCTAAAACCTATAACCACAAAAAAATGAGTTTGGCCAACAGTGGATTCTTTCCAAAAACCTCAGTAAGCAACAGCACCACTATTGGGCAAACACTTTCACTTTAGCCCCATGAGACCTGTGTTGGACTTCTAACCTACATATCTATGAGATAATAAATGGATGTCATTATGAGCCATTACATTTGTGGTAATTTGTTATGGCAGCAATAAAAACTAACACAGATTTTGGTACTTTAAGTGAAGTGCTACTGTAACAAATACCTAAAATTGTAGAATTGCCTTTGGAATCAGGCACTGAGTGGAAGCTGGAAGAATTCTGAGGAGCATGATGAACAAAACCTAAACTGCTTTGAAGAGAATATTACTAGAAATCTGGTCTTTCAGGGCACTGCTGGTCAGGGCTCACAAGCTACCTGTAGAAATCTTGACTTGGAGGACACCACAGTGAGGGCTCAGAAGTGGAAAACATGTTATTGTAAACTGGACAAAGGTGGATCCTCGTTATGTGTTGGCAGAGAGCTTAGTGAATTTGTGTCCTGCAGTTATTTCTAAAGCAGAACTTGTAAATGATGAAGTTGGACATTTATCTGAGGACATTTCCAAAGATGAAGGTGTGACCTGGCTTCATCGTGTTGCTTACGGTTAAATGTGAGATGACAAATTACAACTATAGACAGCAGCTTTGGCCTGTGCATGAGTTCTAGCCTGCCTGTGATCTTCCTTTCTTAACAGCCTGTCCTATGGATGGATGTTGGACTTGCTTAGCTAGCCCCCTAACTGCATACACCAATTCCTTGTAATAAACCTCTATATACTGATGTCCTCTGGGTTCTGTTTCTCTGGTTGAATACTGAATGATACAGTACTTTTAAGCTCTAGAATTTCTATTTAGTTCTTTTTTATAGTTACCATTTCCCCTGTTCACTCATAGCTGTTTTCCATTAAAGTCTTGGATAGATTTACAATAGATGCTTTAAAGACTGCTAATTTCAATGCCTGGATCACATCAGGGTCAAAGTTTCTATGGATTGCTTTTTCTCTTCACTGATGGTCACATTTTCTAAATTCTTTGTACTTCTAGTGATTTTTTACTATATGCTAAACATTGTGAACTATATATTTAAAAGACTCTAGAATTTAGGGTGTTCGTTTCTTCAGCAGGCAGCTTGGTGGGGATCCATCTGCAAACTTTGTCTCCTCCACAGTGACTTATGGTGAAAGGTGAATTCTCCATTCAGTTCCTTCAGCTTATAACTACTGATTTTTGGCAGTTTCCTACAGTCTTCTCCTGTATATGTATAGTTCAGTGGTAAGTCAATGATTTTTGCAGAGTTTAAAATTGATTTTAAGACTTACTTACCTCTTTTGTGGCTCCCTCCTTTCCAGGATTTCCATCCTAAGTTTCTTGTGTTCTGATCCCTCTGTCCAGTAAATATTGTGGCTTTCTGCTACACCCAGGAATTGTGAAATGCCCACAGGAGAATAGCCAGAAATACTCAAATTTCACCCAGTACAGCTTCCGTCTTTCAGGTATCATCTTCCCTCCACTTTTTGCCTGCTTTTCACCACTCACTAGTACTTTCAAATAGTTGTGGGTTTTCTTTGGGGATGCTTATTTTTGTATTAATGATATAATCATTATTTGCATACTACACTACCATTACTGGAAGCAGGAAGCATAATTGAATATTTTTAAATATTCCATTTTATCCCCTCAATTGACATTTAAGATCTGTATCTCTTAGGTTTTTTTTTTTTTTGGTGGTTATAATATTCATCCTAAAGAGCTTACAATATTCAACCTTATCACAGTATACCATCAAATAATACATTACTTCATAAGCAACATAAAAAAACCTTACAAATGTATAATTCTATTTTTCTCCCTCATGCCTTTTATCTACTATTGTCATATATTTTATGCCTACATATCACATAAGCACCACAATCTACTGTTATTTTTAGTGGGAATTTTAAAATACTTTAAAATACTGCTAAGGCATATTTAGTCAGGTCATATATGTCTTAGACTCTCGGAATGATTTTGGGCAAATCATTAAATGCAGAACTTCAACATTCTCTTTTATAAAAATTAAAGGGATAGACAAGATGATTCTTAATGTCCCTCCCAGCTTTCATATTATCTGTATATCCTATGACCTATGAATACTTTTTGTTCAATATCAGTTTTTTAATGTGTAATTAACAATCATAATCTATTAAGTACATATATAAGAGCATACATTAAGGTAAAAAAAAGTGTTAGTTGGAATCCATGATTTTTTTAAATTTGTAAAAATCAGACTCATCTTTAAAGTCAGCGCTGCCCAGAAAATATTCATAAAGGAAATAAACACTGAGGTATATTAACTTGCAATGGAGAATAACTCAAGTTTGGGTGAAAACACTTACCCATCTTCAGTTTCTTTTAGTAAGCGACTAGCAATTCGGATTAGCATGCAGTAGGCAAACTGTGATTTGAGACCAGATTTACTAAATTTATTCAACATCTTGGAAACAGCAAGACGATCATTCTTTCTAAGGTGATACAGGACCCCCAATGCATGGTACTAAAGAACAAGAAAAAGAATGGATCACACAGATTAGAAAAAAGATAGAACATACAAAAATAGAATCGCATGGAACTAAATTGAATATTTTTAATCAAAAGATACCCAAGTCAAATGCACACAGATAGAATACCTTTTTCACATTGAATTAAATACAGTAAAGACTGAAAGGATAGGGGTCTCTAATATACCCCCAGTAGTTGCCAATTCAGACTGGACAAATATGAAGAAGGTAACATACAATCTGAAGATGGCTCCAGCAGATTCAACACTGACTCACACATCCTCAGTACAAAGGCTTTCAGTTCCAAGTCTTTACCAGTGTTACACATCTCTCTTACTGTCTTTAAATCATCTGTGGCCACCTTAGTAGTTAAAGGATTAATCTCCTAAAGTAGGCTAAAGGAATGCCTTTAAAATGACATTTTGTATAAAAACACATTGATCAGAATTAGGAGAGTAAGAATGTTTCCTAAGGGAAAAAATTACTACTCAGTTGATTGACATCACAATGATGTGCTAACATGAGAGTTGTAAACAATGAAAGGGCATAAATAAACACCCTCTCAAATACAATAGGGTACTTTATATAAAATCACCAGTTAAGAATTTAATCCTGTTCCTCTTTATGAAGAATAACCTAATAAATACCAAAAGGGAATCTTTTTTGACAAAATGGTTTCAAAGTTTCATAAATAAAAACTGTTCCTTATTATTTTTATAACATCTATAATCAAGGCTTGTGAAACTTGGAATTGAACATCTTTTTGCATAAATTATTTTTCAAATAAAAGATTGCAATGCACTGTGACGGACCTTTACAATGAGCATCTCAATCTACTACTGAATATAAGAATCTTTTCTGAATATTCTTCAGGAGTTCATCTAGCTTCTACTAAACACTTGAAGGGCCTATGGCAGTAATCGTGATTAGTGAGATTTCTATTTGAGCATATGCACTAGTAGGCTGCTTAATACGCCAAAGAATTTGCCCTTAGTTAGTGCTTATATGGGGAATCAATATACTGCCCTAAAGTACTGGCTTAAAGAAAGCTGATCCCAAGACATAAGCTAATGTGTTTCAATGATAGTACCTGGACCATAACATTATCACTTGATGCAGCTTCTTGGGCTTCATTAATCCAGCGCTTAACCACATCATAGCTTATCTTCATCATGTGCTAAACACAGAAAAAAGAAATGAGAATAGATAATGCATGCTCACTGGAAGTTTAGAAACATGAGTTAGTTTTCCGGAAAATCACTGATAGACATTTCCCCAAAGAAAGAAAACTTTGTAGTTTTGCAGTTTATTTCACATCTCTACTCCCGGGGCAACTGATAAACCAGAAGCATTTTCTCCAATACCTCTTTGCAAAGGTGAGCTCAGAGAGGTACATAAAAGGAAGTAATGAAAGAGGAAGAAGAGGGAGGGAATGGATATTCAATAGAATGGTGCTTAAATGTTAACATTATTAAGTTTTACTTCCAGGAAACTCCCTTGGAAGAAAGAAGCAGAATACTAGTATAACCCCTGCTGTAAACAATTATATTCAAGAATCAGAAACTCTTGTGATTCAGATTCCTTAATGCGTGCTCACACTAGTTACTGATTTCAATCAAATGCAATGACTAAAGGTTTTAGAGTATAAATTTTGTTTTGATGAAAAACAAAGAAAAGCTATTACTAAAACAAAGACTACTTGCTGGGAGAAAATTCAGAAGTGGGACAGGAGACTCTGTATTAAAGGACGCATACAGACACAGGGCACCAAGGAAAGCAAAGGACAAAAAGACAAGAGGTAGAAGTGCAGATCATAAAGGAAGATTTTAAATTAAAGAGAACAACCCTCAGTTTCTTCCTTGTCCTTACCTTAACCTTACCCCCATCTTTATTATGTGTATAATATAACTTTTGGATTCCCCAAACCTTTTAAACATATGAAAACTTTATGTTTTTAACTGCCCATTTTAATTGCTCAATGCTCTTCTAGATAAAACACATTTGGATAAAGTAGTAGAGATGTATACATATTTTTAATTGTTTCATTTGCAAGAGAATCAGACTGATACTTTGTTTTTGCAACTAGAAACTGTTCCATGCATAAGAAGAACTAGGCAGGTGTTTGCTCACTTACTAAGGAAGATACCAGTGCTGAGCTGGATACACTGGAGACTTTATCCACAATGGCTTGCTTCATGTATCTTTCAATGGCTTGAAACATTGTTCCCTAATAACATTCAAAAAGAAAAAGCTGTTGAAGCAAAATATTTTCTTGTAAAACTACTACTTCAAAATAATTCACAAAAACCAGTCATATATTTGTTTCTATGCAAACATTCAGAATGCACTAAAAGGATTACCATATAATACAGTAATAATATCCCACAGGGAGAACTGAAACAACTGAGTGGAAGCTTCAAGAAAGAACATTTAAGATTGTATGTTAGGATGACTGTGCAACAATGAAATAAATGTCTCAAGTGGAGAATCCAAGTTTGAAAAAAATATACAAGAAGAGGCTGAACCTATCAGGGATGTTATAATAAAAAGAAATTTCTACATGGGACAGAGGCTGCTTTTAAAGTCTCGAAGGTATACCTCTATGTGAAGGGCATATATTATACATGGATCCTGAAGCGTCCTATAAATCAAATGTAATCGCTGATTATCTTTGGTATATAAGAAATCAAACGTGTAATATACAACTATAGCGAGCCCTTGACGTGAAGTCCTCTGGAAATAAAGTTCGTTTCAATTTTAACTGGGAAAAAGCTTAGCACTGGCAAGGTTGTGGCAGATAAATATGAGTAAACAGACTAAGATCAATGTTCAGATGAAAAGAGAGTTTTATTGCTAGCACTGGCATGGTTAAGTCTTATGCTACCAATTTAATACTCAAAATAAAAACAACCACAACAAAATAGCAAGGCAGCAAAAAATATTAAACCATTTCTATTACTCTTTCTAGAACCTAGATTTACCAGATTTTAAATTTGATCCTGCTCGACCTTTAAAACTTGAGAAGGCTGCAAATATACACATAAAATATATCCAAGCATGAATATATATCTATCAATTACCATTATTATTATTATTATTTTAGAGACAGGGTTTTGCTATGTTGCCCAGGCTGTACTTAAACTGCTGGGCTCCCGAGCAGTTGGGACTACAGGCACGTGCCACCCTGCCTGGTCTGTTACTCAATTCGCTTAGCAATACCTGGCCTGCTCTTCATTTTAGCCTTTCATACTCAAAGTTCCCAGAAAGAGACAGTCTAACATAGTATATATATGACCTCATCCCTCCAGATATAATGGACTGGGCCACAGTTAAACACCTGACTGGGCCCCAGGTAGATATAAGCTACTGACTTACTGGTGGCTAATCAGATTTTCTCTCTCAGATATTTGAAAGAAGGGGCCTGAGTCTGGTAAATAATGGATCACCACAGTAAATATCTTAGAAATCTTGCTGCTGAGTTCCTTAGACTTGCTCTGTTTCTTGCTCTGATATCTGGTTGTAAGCTTTACCTCAAATTCTGAGAGATCTGTGTCCTGTAATAAAGTTATTATCATTAAGATAAATTTGAATGAGTTTTCGTTTCCTGCAAGTAATGTACCCTGACTATAATAACAGTTCATGAGGGCAAATATAGAGACAAAATGGACTAAAATAAATAATGAAAGGAAAAGAAAAGCCTGGAGTCACAAAAGCCTTTCTGGTGGTCATGTTTCTCTTATGCTGAAGAGTCGTGAAATCAGACTAGGGAATCCTACTAAATCTACACAGCCACCTGCATATAAACACGGTGTCCCCTTTGGTAACTCAGTAAAACAAAGAACTTACATCAGTTATTCTGCAGAGAGCCCTGATGGCCGGGCCTCGGTACACATCTTCCTTTCCAGTCATGTCCTTTGTCAGACTAAGAAAAGTCAAATTAGTTAACATGAGAGCAATTAAAACCTTCTTTCCTGTGGAGTTCACCCCAAGCTAATTTCCAACTGTCCTCATAATTATCTTAATGCAGCTACTAATTCAACAAATACTAACAGAGCACATTCTTCGTATACATGCTAAAACTACTGGGTAGAAGACTATCCCAAATATTAACAATACAGTGAGTGATGAGCAAAGCAAAGTCCTTTGCCTTCATGGAACTTAAATCTTAGTAGGAAGAGAGAGAATAATCATTTTTAAAACCCTGCAATTTTACATACTAATAATTGGCATTAAAAAATAAAACAAGGCCTTAATGGTATCTGAGAACTTGAAAAAAATAAAAATAAAACAGGACAATGGTATAGAGAGCCCTAGGCTGACAACCCCCCAAATCTTAAAAACCCATCACACTAGACATAACTTCTAAAAAAAAATAACAAAAATGATTAACTCATGAGGTATCTCTCTTTCAGGCATAGCTTTCCAAAATGACAATCATCAGTGGCTTCACATCTTTCTGCTGAACTTCAAGAACAATCAGAGGAGTGTAGGCTGAGCTACAAAATTTCATACTTTAAAGGTTTTTAGCCTTTCACCCTCCCTTCTCTTGCTCTCCGTGCATTTATATTACCCCCAAACTGACCATCAATCTCTCCCCTTCCTCATCTCCTCTCGCATAACCCAGAGTCGAAAACTCTGACTCACTCCCTTAGGAAACCAAGACAAAAAAGTTGTGAATAAATGATAGCCCTTCAATTTCTTTCTTTTTCCAATTATAAAAGTAATTCATTCATTGAAATATAACAATACATTTCAAAATATTCACTAATAAATTCAGACATGCATCATTAATGAGTGCTAAAATTACTGTGTGAAAGAATGTTGGGGAAACAGATATTCCTCAACAGTCTCCCAGTAAAATATTCCGTTAATTTTACTGAAACTAGTATGGCAGGAATCCATATTGTTGTTTTTTTCCCAGATGGTAGCCATTATCTTAACTTAATGGTTCTTTTTAAATTTTTGTATTGATTGAAAAATGTCACCTTTTTATATACTCAGATTTTTATACTGAAAGGAAATGTCATCTTTTATATACTAAATTCACATATAAGTACTTAATAAATATGCAAAATGAGGATGTAACTCATGAATTATTATTTATTAATATAGCATCAAAGTACAAAAGCCAAAAATCACAAAAAATGCAAATACAAACAAAATAGTATCAGCCCATGTTATAAAAAGAAGGAAAAACCTCAGTATAAAAGATATGAATAATATACTTTATAACGATTAATTAATACTTAAGAAAACTACATCTTTATAATAGAAAAGTCACCTTTACAAGCATTCATGGAACACTTACAAAGTATTCAACATTCAGGCCCTGAAAACCCCCTAATTCCAGAAAGTGTATACATAATAGTAGAGACTATATTCTTTCATTACAATGCAATCAAACTATATTTGATATATTTAGGTATTATTTGTTCTTTAACTGGGATGAGATGATATCTCATTGTAGTTGCATTTCTCTGATGACTAATGATGTTGAGCATTTTTCCACATACCTGTCGGCCACTAGTATGTGTTCTTTTGAGAAATGTCTATTCAGATCCTTTGCCCATATTTTAACTGGATTGATTTTTTTCCTGCTGAGTTGTTGGAGCTCCTGATATATTCTTGTTATTAATACCTTGTCAGGTGGGTAGTTTACAAATATTTTCTCCCATTCTGTGGGTTGTCTCTTCACTTGGTTGATTGTTTCCCTTGCTGTGTAGAAGCTTTTCAGCTTGACATCGTCCTATTTGTACAATTTTGCTTTGGTTGCCTATGCTTTGGGGGCATTATTCAAGAAGTTCTTGCCCAGACCAATGTCTTGAAGCATTTTCCCAATGTTTTCTTTTAGTAGTTTCATAGTTTCAGGTCTCAGATTTAAGTCTTTAATCCATTTTGATTTGACTTTTGTATATGGCAAGAGATAAGGATCTGGTTTGATTCTTCTGCATATGGATGTCCAGTTTTCCCAGCACCGTTTATCGAAGAGACTGATCTTTTCCCACTGTATGTTCTTGGTACCTTTGTTAAAGATAAGTTCACTAGAGATGTGTGGATTTATTTCTGGGTTCTCTACTCTGTTCCATTGCTCTATATATGTGTTTTTATGCCAGTACCATGCTGTTTTAGTTACTACAGCTCTGTAGTGTAATCTGAAGGCAGGTAATGTGACTCCTCCAGTTTTGCTCCATTTGCTCAAGATGGCTTTGGCTATTTTGGGTCTTTTGTGGTTCCATACAAATTTTAGAATTATTTTTTCTATTCCTGGGAAAAATGCCAGTGGTATTTTAATGGGGATTGCATCAAATCTGTAGAGTGCTCTGAAGCATGGACATTTTAACAATATTGATGGTTCCAATCCATGGGCATGGAGTATCTTTTCATTTTTTTGTGTTCTGTTCTATTTCTTTCATTAATGTTTTTAGTTTTAATCACAGAGATCTAGAACTTCTTTGGTTTAGTTTATTCCTAGGTATTTCATTTTATTTGTAGCTCTCATAAATGGTATTACTTTCTTGACTTCTTTTTCAGATTGTTTACTGTTGGCATATAGAAATGCTACTGATTTTTGTATGCTAATTTTGTATCCTGCAACTTCACTGAATTTATCAGTTTTAATAGTTTTTTCATGGAGTCTTTAGGTTTCCCTAAACATAAGATCATATCTTCTGTGAACAAGGCTACTTCGACTTATTTCCAATTTGGATGCACTTTATTTCTTTCATTAATGTTTTTAGTTTTAATCACAGAGATCTAGAACTTCTTTGGTTTAGTTTATTCCTAGGTATTTCATTTTATTTGTAGCTCT